ATACTTCTAATTTTGTACAAAGCAGTGAATCCTTTTTAACCTTTAATGCTTCCTTTGGTGAATTTCATTGTTTACATTTAATTTAATGTTCGAAGAAGTTTTCTCGAGTACTGGTATCCATCATTGTGTGTACATAACCAATCATATTGCGAGAAACAAATGGCGCCAAAACAACGACGCGCGCGTCGTTGGGTGAAAGGTTGAAAGTTGCTCAGTAGCATCCTCTACGAAAAGGCTATTCTAATTTGATTTTGCTGATACTAGAGSCCTCCTCAAAGATAATTAAGAACTGTATGATTGTGAGCATCGACGAGGTTATTATCTTTGGGTAGCAGTTTGATACAAGCCGGTTTTGCGGAAAATATGGTTTTTTGCTGTGACAGTAAAACCAGCATATCTGAAAACCCCTTGAAGCAAGAAAGAGAACCAGTTTAGACTGACTCAAATCACTTATCGTCCCAAACCAGGAATCGAGTCGGGAGCGCAGCGGTCAGTATTTTAACCGCTATTTTAACCGGCCAGTATTTTAACCGCTAGGCAAACCTTGCTCCTTTGTCGGTAAATTCACTATAAGATGGTATAAGATGTTTCTCAAAATGTGCTAGTTAAGTGTGCGAAAACTAGTTCCTGTAGACACATTAGTCTCCTGGCTMCCCTTTTTCGGCGGGCTCCATTTCCTCTGGGTTGGTTAAAAAAAGAAACACAAATAAACTGGCTACATAGACCTACATATAAGCAATTTATTTCGAAAAATGATGTCGGGCCGGGATACTGGTGATTGTTGAACGGTAATTATACGACCGAAAAGGGGTTTCTCTAGCTGATTGTTTCAGTTTGCTAATAGCCAAMRTTTCACTAGTCTRTTCTAACAGCCGCGACTTCAAGCTGAGCGCATCGTGGCCCCCACCTTACCTAAAGAGTTTATGTAATGAAAATAGAAGCGCAAAACTCGTGTTAAACATAGATGAAATAAGTGTTTGAAACTATGCGTGGACAATGGCGCGATAAAGAGGGGTTATAAAYGTAAATTATAAATGTGACATCGTGATAAGGAAATAGAAAAGGAAATTAAAGGAAAAGGAAAGTGGCTGAACAGAAAACAAGGAAGTTAACAGAAGAAAAGAAAATGTAAACTGAGAAAAAAAAAGTTGCATGAGTCATTATCGCCTACACTCTATGTGCTTGTTACGGCAGTGTCGTACGTGGGAACAAAACCATTTGAATCTAATCTCTAATCTGATAGGAATGCCAATCATCGACATAGGGGGTGGGGCCCATCTCTWACTAATTATCACGAAGCGCTGCCCACTTGACGATGCTTTCATTTAGAGTAAAATTGTAATTTTTTTCGCATTTCAGTCTTCGACTGCCTTTGTAAAAATGTATTTTTAAATACAAAAAAAAACTATCTATCTAACTGCCGTGTAAGACACAGGACGGCCAAACATATATCGTATTTTGAAAACAGCATTTTGGTAGTATAATTCAAGTATATTCTCGTCTAGGTTCTGTGATTCTTTGTATGATTTGTTTTTTACTRAAAAATTTCTAACTTGATGACTCTTCGACTATAAGCAATTTATCACTCCACAGGGTATCGCACATCGTTGCAGCTGTGAAGATGTTCACAGCTGTTTCACGTGTATTGTGGCACCGTTTTTTAATCCGTACTTGCTTTATTGTTTTCTACAGTTAAAAAGATTAAAAATCAATGAATTAAGTCATGATGACTTAATTCATATTTTTATTGGTCAAAGCGTTGGCTGAAATAGCCGAAAAATAAAAACGCTTGTGTCTACCTGACTGATGTAGTACTATTARTGAGCATAAGTGTTATGGAAGCATAACGAAGTTTGATCAGTCTAGCGGATATTACAGATCAGGAAAAAGTCTGATACTACTCAATAAAAGGGAGATTACCTCGTTGAAATCCAAATTAATCAATTATCAGGAAATAACAGATATGAATGGTGGTGTTCACGATGTTTGAGGACCGACATGACAGTCGCAATGCAGCCACTATGTTTTAGCGTGATAAAAGGTTGCTCTTTTCCAGTACAGCTGTCTTTTCTCTTTTCTCGGTTTTTTCTCTGGTGATTTAATGTTCATATTCCTTCGGATCTTGGTTTATTTTTCCCCAAGAAAACCATAGAAAGAGGGTCTCAATGGGGTTAACCGTGAGCCGTGAAACGGCTAAAAAATTAGCCGTGAATCGTAAAAATGAGAAAAAATAGACGTGAAACGGCTGAAAAATTAGCCGTGAGTCGTGAAAACGAGAAAAAAATTAGCCGTGAGGCGTGAAAAAATCATTTTTTTAGCCGTGAGACGTGATACGGACCCCCCATTGAGACCCTCTAGAAAGACATYCTTTCTTTGTCAATAACTTCCAGTTCACGCGGAGTGCTAGACTCGACCCGGGGAGKTTTTTCCCTTCGAACATCATCGTCACTATACCTTTAAAATTCTCTACTTGAGTGGTTTGAAAATCAATGAAAAAATGTGTTTTCAAAAGCTGGTGACCGAGGCTCGAATCTTTGCCTGTAAWAACMTAGTWCCTGTATTTATGAACAAATGCATGTCCGTTTTCAGTTTGTACGCACAAAGAAGCCGTAAATATTAAATGGTGAACCAGGTTTTTGTGACATTTGACATTTGACATCATGACATTTTTGATCACTGTTAAACTGAATTTGGAAGAATGTGACAAATATATCAATCACCTTAATAAATATTTAATTCTACAATACGATTGATTGAAATAAATTTCCCTTTTTGATATAAAGACAGTTGGCGTCAATAACGAAATGTTTGATTAAAGATAGTCACTCCATCAAGCAGTAGTGAAGCCTTCTATTTACGGAAATTAACGTCATTAACGATGGGTTTCCTATGTTTTCTTTGTCTTTTTAAATTCAGCTGTCAAAAGTTGTCCACGTGATACGGTCGCTCTTGCAATGAATGCTGGGATGCAATTCATTGATTCGCTATTTATGCAAACACTTGAACAACAACAACGGATAAACCGTAACCAACAAAAAACGCCGATAAAGCAAACATCAGGTCAAATTTGGTTTGTTACTTTCATGTACTTTGGCTTTAGGCCTACTTCAGACGAGTTGGTTTATACGTCTATCTTTTCAGTGTTGCGTCCTATTTATAATTTCTGGCGTTTAGGCTTGCCAATTCGCACTCTGAATTCATTGATATTTGTAGATATCTTATTCAGAATTTATATGATCTGTACAAATGTGATTAAATTTYGCAACGAAAAGATCTGAACCGGGTCTATAAGAAATAGGTAAATAAAGAAAGAATGATAGATAGAAAGAAGAATCACGAGAGGAAAAAAGGCACCTTACTTTCGTTGTTATATTTTTACGTCGTGTTTTTAATTGTTGCGCGTCATATTGCTTTGTATTGCTTAGTAGTTTTCGTTGTCATTTTTTTAAATTTCTTTCGCAGTTTTTCTCTCAATTCTTTATCTCTTTCTCTTTGCAAGTCAAACACAATCTGATCAAGCCATGGGCCATGATTGCTATCAATAAATTTAATATAGAARTGAGAAACCCGTGTACATTTTATAGTAACACTTAATACGGCATTTACCTAAATTGGATGGTATTATTTATTCAATTGATACTCAACAGTGTAGTAGAAGAACAAAAGAAAATATAACGGCTTGTTATCGAAGACAAGAAGCCTCCTTTGTACTTCTATCAAGGGATGATCTCCAAGAGGTATAGTGTATGGTAATATTCATGACTTAATACAAAAAAGTCATTTCACGTAAAGAAGATTATAATCTTATTACTGAAACTCACTAGCTTCATTGTTGTAACTATTCAGTTTACTATCTTGCAAAAGTCTGCTGTAATAATATTATTGTAAATAAAAATCATTTACKTTCAGTAAATTCATGAAAAATGCTATTTTACTTTACTCTTCCTCCACCTGTTGAAATCAGTCCACCTTACGTGTTTGTAAGAAAAGAGATTTATGAATTGTCTCCTCTTGATCGTCAAGTGCCAGCCACATTTGACGGAAGCTGAGTCTATCTTGACCTCATGATAGTCCAGTCCACTCTCTGCGTCTTACTAATCGTTTTATAAACGACATTTCTAAAGGCACTGAGACTACAATACAAAAAGACCAAAAAATAAACTAGTGTGAAGATACCTATTTTGTGTATCATCAAGCCTGAATAAATAAAATCCATTCAAATACTGTTATCTTGTGATTACGGGTCGCCAATCAGTCCACAGTCAAACAGACAACACATCAGCACACTAAACTGAGACTACAGGAAATTTACACCACGTAATTTGTTCATCATCATCAATAATAGCTTTGTTTGCTCTAATCTTTGATGTACATCTTGAGGTACCCTAACGAGAATAAGGAGCAACATAAATTGTTTCTGACTTGATTTGAGGTCTTGCTGCGATCTCAAACCCTTTGTCAAACGTTTTGAGAATTTTGAAGGATCTTGCATCTATAATATTATGACTTTGACGCAAATAACGCTAATTAAATCGTTTGTATTTTTGAACTGACATCAACTTGTCGAAAATAATATGAAATAGTCGGAACAAAGCCGCGTAACGGATAGAAGCATATTTAAATAACCAAAGCAAAGGGTTTGACAAAGTTTATTAGCTCTGTCATCTTCCAAACAGGTGGATTACACCGCGTGAGCTCGTCTGATCTTACGGATATAAAGTCTGATCATCAACGAGTCATACCTTAGTTACTCCATCGAACATTCATCACGACCTTAGCACAATGAACAACAAGTATACCGTAATCGCAATGGTACTATTAACACTAACTATTTTTGTACAYAACAGTCAAGGAATTACAAGTGTTATGAACGGCAAAAATAATGGAAAACGAAGATTAATTGATGGAAAGGAACTCGAAAAGGTTGGTAGCACTGTTGCTATTTTGAAACAAGCTCACACATTTGAATACCAATCAAATTTAGTTCCCATAATCACGAATCTTCTTAAAACGACTAAAGCTGTTACTAAGTTGTAACTAGAGAGCGGGTTTTTAATTGTTGTGACGTCATTTTGCGATAGGCCGATGAGACTTTAATTCACACTGTGTTAGACCCGAAACCATGTAATATATCCTTTTATTCAGTAACAAAAGCAAGAGATCTATGAGTATAGAGGACAATGAAAATAGTTTGAAATGTCACGAGTTTTATCGAAATTTAAGCATAATTTGGAAAACACAGTATATAAAATCGCGAAACTCAGCTTTTTGTTAACGCCTAATGAAAAAAAAAATTGTCGCAAAAAGATGATATATATAATTACAGATCAAAAAGGATATTAGGTACTCAGAAATTCGAAAATTTTGTAAGGACATGTTTCATAATAACACGACAATAATAAAACGACAATGTTTTTTATTCAGTGCAGGAAATCTTTTCGACCTGGAAACACTGTTAATTATATACCACATATTGCACTATTTACCATGCTCCCCTTTCGAAGATGTAGTCTTATGGAACGCGACTTTGTTTCCCGGGGGGGGGGGGGGGGGGCAGTCCCTAATAAAAAAGGGCAGGGTCCTCGTCCTCCCATCATCTCACAATACAGGTCCCTTTTAGGGGTCATTTTCAGAATTTCTGACGAGGATCTCCGCCCTATTTTTATTAGGGAGTCCCCCCTCCGGGCTTCGTTTATTCATTAATTAGACGTACTGACTATATATTGATTATATACTGTCTATTAATTATATCTTACAGAGYTACCTTCAAAACGAAGCCCTACGAGACATTTGTTACATGGCGGAGAAGCTCGATTGCAGTGAAATGCTGCGAAAAAAGTCTGCTAATCTGTAAAACAATGCACAAATACAACACTAGAAACTTGTAATATTCTTAGCTGAAAGGATATTTAAGAGAATAATATTTTCATTGAACAAAGTTATATTTTAGAAATAAATGGAATACCTAAGAAGCGAGCGAGGATTMTAATGTCTGCAATAAAAATATCATTAAAATCTAACGTAGTTAATTAATGTGTATTTAGTTTWTACAGTAGTACTCAGATATGTACTTCTGGTTTACATCATATTCCTCGGCGTTTTCCTTATACATCTCGGCGGCCATCTTGGAGTAACTTCAATAAGGATTTCTATTGTTCATTCCTTCAACATGGTCGCTGGTCTTTTTATCTTTTTTTAATCTCATGGGAATAATTGAAAACGATCGATTAATCGTTTAATCGTTGTCACTAGGACATAACCATAGACATAAGCCGAGAACAAAAGAAAATACAAAGGAGTGAAGTCAAGCGTGCTAAATAAAACATCGACATAAGCATAGCGATAAAAACAAGAAGAAACTAATTAAATACAAAAGGACAAACAAAGAAAACTACCTTCTTAATATTTTCTTAGGGGAGATCCATTAGACCTTATTGAAGGGGGGGAAGTGGAAAAAAAGCGCCTGAAGTCCCCAAAAAAAACATTCTTGCACCAATTAGATCCCCCCCCTCTCAAAAATCTAATGGATTGCACCTCAATGCCGTCTAGCGGCCAAAATCTATTGTTTTTCAGCCTTTATGCTTATAGCATAGTGAAAGCCAAGTTTGATTTTTATGTTGATTTTCGTTTGGATGGATTTCTTTAATTAGTTTTTTTGTATTGCCCCCACTTCCTTCACTTGCTATTCTAAAGAAGCGTTACTTGATGATCAACACCACAGTCTCCTGCGCTTCGGGCAACTCTTGCCCTCGCTATGGCAGGAAATAAGTACACAACACGTTGAGGGATTGAGGATCTTGTACTTCTTTCGGATCCCTTCTTTAACTATCAGAATGTAGTCTTCTTTCTCAGTTTCATTGTCAGCCCTGTGCAAAGGTGCTGTCTCCATTTTTTGTAGCTCGCATGGCGATGTCAATGTTGTTAACGCCCTTTCGTAAGATCTTTTTGATAACTTTCTTGGTAGCTTGAAAGCGTAGGAACGAATGCACAAACTTAATCATCGATCCTTTGAGCTTCCGCTTCTGTCTTCTCTTTCTGTGTGGTCACATTGTTGACACAAAGATCTTAAACATCGAATCGGGGCTTGAAACATTGCACCTTTCTCG